TGCTCCCTGATGAAGCTAAAGAATAATACTTACAGCCCGAGTATTCGGGGAGTAGTAGCCATGATTATGGTTCATGTACTTACTCCAGTGGCAAGGGTAAACAAACCTAAACACACAAGGAATAGTGAGTGAGGTTTGCTACTCAACTGAGCAGAGATCGAAAATTCCGCTAGTCCACTTGTAATTATGGGTAGAATTTAAGAGAACTTGATGCAGGACGAGTTGCCTGCAAATTGAATTTAGAAGCAAGAACAAGAGGAATTACTCTGAAAATATTTTCCGATGCCTGCTGAGCAACAGTGGTTGAAGTTTTACATGCATCTCCTCAGACAAAATCATATCTTATTAACCAAGTTGAATAATTATATATTCTTGTTACTTAACACACTTATTTGATATATAAAAAAATATTAGTCTCTGTCAAAGGCCCATAACTTTTTGTACTTCGGTCAGACTGTCAAGTTTTTCCTAAGAAACCCGAAAGTATAATAACAACAATGTCATTTCTTCCTGTTGCATGGCAGCTTAAGGTAGCAGTTTCATAATTACAATGTTTAGGGTTTTATCACTATGGTGATTTTGCTGGAATAAAACCCTTGATAATTTTCTTTCCTTTATGTCATAATAATCAACTTCTAACATATCAAAAAAAATCTGTCTGCACTAACAATCTGGAAGCAAATTACGTTTACCTAGTATCAGATTTGCTTTTGTCTAGCAATTAAGTTCATGAGTTCTTGGAATTATAGGTATGACTTGACAAAAACCTATGGCTTGTTGTTATAGCGACTTGTATTGCTGTACTGGGTACAATATGTGAATTAATTAGTACCAAGTAATCCTTAATAATGTATACTGTAACTTCTGCAGACAGTGTTAGTCCATAATTCAGGCTGTCATTTGACTTTTGCATAATATATATTCCACAAAAGTTGGGTGTGCAGATGTCATGGGAAATTTGCTAGAATTAGGGAGAGGTCTTGCCATTGTCTAGACTAGAAAATGAAGCTAGGTCAAACTCCTGTCTTAAACCAGTTGTATTGATAATGTGATTGATAATGCATTTGAGCCGTGTCACGGCAAAACCAACATAATGCGTTTGCCACCAGCATGGATCCAGACCAGCCTGTGCATCCGTGCAGTCTGATCAGGATCCATGCTGTTCGCTTACAAACCCTATAACAAGTAGAGAAATTGATAGCGAACAGCATGGATCCTGATCAGACTGCACGGATGCGCAGGCTGGTCTGGATCCATGCTGGTCGCAAACCCATTATGTTGGTTTTGTCATGACGCGGCTCATTTATAAATAAGGCATCTGCTCCTAGTAACAGTAACAGAAAATGATCAAGGCTTATGATGTTTAAAGCTGTTTTAATAACTTGCCATAAGTTCTCCCTTAATTAACTGTGTTAATTATTTTAATTGCGTGGGATGGTCAAAGACCAATAATTGGATTTGGCAATTAGTGTAATTTCTGTCCGTCTTAGCCAATACAGAATAGATATCCTGCAATTCTGAAAGTATCCTGCTTTGTTGTTAGACTGTCCATTTATTTTAAGTATATGGATGTTTTAATGGTTTAAATATACATATTTTTTTTATTAATCAAGTTTTTACAAAATATTAATCACTTTAGCGTCTGCTTCTGGTAACTAAAATACCATTACTGGAGTAATAATGTCATACACAGTTGGGCTCAAACTCACAATCTCTGGGTTGAGAGGCAGAAACCTTAACCACTAGGTCGCTATTCTCCTTGAGTGTCTCCCCAAAAGTGTCATCATTCTTGGCAGATTTCATTAATTCATTGCAGAAGAAGAAAACCTACATGTTTAAAGGGGCCTCATGATAGATGTGTTTGGGTTGCTGGCTTAAATTACTTAATCATGTGTTTGGGTTGCTGGCTTAAATTACTTAGACCCTGGTTGAATTTGATTTGAAGTCCACAAGAATCATATATCAAATGCTCTATCCAGACATTATGCTAATTGTGCCTAAAGTATTAAAAATATAATGAGGAAAGGAGTGTTAGTGTAGATTTTGCTAAAAAAAATGTGTACTAACATATTTTTAACACTTAAGTAAGTTTATATCAATCATCCATTTGATTAAAAACCCCCAAAACTTTCACAACCCTGACTTGTATCATATATGAGAAGGTTTATATCTCTAATTCATACACAGCACAAAAAAATTCTATTTACCTGTATTAATAATTATTACATGATCACTTTGAAATAAAGCAAGAATAGTTTAATGTCACTTTCATGTTTTATATAGTAAAATGATTTATTGCTGTTTAAAATAGAAGGTTAATATATTTGAAATACTTAAAGCTGCATCATTTTAAATGAACCAAAATATTTAGAAAAACTATAGAAAAAAGTATTGATATTGAATAAAAGTAAAACGCTCTTAGATTAAAAGAAATTATTTCCATGTTATGTGTGATTTTCCCCACATTTCTATTATTTCTACTGCGTTAGTATTTCAATGCGTTACTAACATGGTAAGGGCTTTATTGTGTGCATATTTTGACCTCTTTATGGTAATTTACGTGGTTTGTAAATGTAAGCGCTGTTTGCAAAGTTTCTTTGTTCACTTCACAATATTTGTATTTTTAATACATTTTCAAAATTTTCATGAAAATTAGCATGAATCTTTAGTAAGTTAACTATCATAAGTTAACTATCAGTGAAGATAACTCTAGCCTGACAGTGTTTATTATTTTACTGCAGATATAATGATAAAGTTTTTGGAATAACTGATACAATATTACAATAAAGACAGGGTTGTTTCTTACCTCTCTTTGTATTGAAATTAATTTAAACCAATTATTATGCTTCATGAATATAGGTTACCTGCATAAAACTGCAAATGAATATTAAAGAGTCTTATTAATTTTACCTGTCATTTCTGAAGTAAATAGTAGTTATAAAAAGTTATAAAATTATTTGTTTTTGAAATCGTTTACTCTTGATGTATTTTATCATTATGTTCTTTATCTCAAATTGTGTAAATATTCACGCCCAACTTGTGACAATTAAAAATACATGTCATTGTGGTTGAAAAAGTAAATACATCATAAAATAATAGATAATGTGATAAAATAAAAACAATTGGACATACAAGTATTTCATGTGTATTATACATGTATCACGAGTCCTGTGTGATTGTAAGAGGTGACTAAATAGGTTTGAATTACTGGAGTCGATGTACCTCTTAGCTCCTGCAGGTTTATAGGTGGTTTTGACCCTTGGTGTTGCTTTAAAAGTTTGTAACACCTGAGGTTAGCCAGTTTCGGTGTCAATGACCTAAATCATATATAGTGAATATAAAAGGTTTACATAGTTTGTTGAGTTATAATAATTTCTAAAAATATTAAGTGGTGTTTTTATTCACAATCTATGTAATGCAATAATTGTATTGTAACACAGGGTTTGCCTGTATCTGAATATTTCACAATACAGGTTTCACTGTATCATTGCATCCCTGTCAGTATATAACATTTTGTGTGGGAGTCAAAGTAAAATTGTACTGGTAAACTATGAACATTGGTGTCAAAAGTGCTGTGGGTTATTAATACATTGTAGGATGCGACATTATTTATGAATGACGATTATGTTTTATAATGCTCTTGTGTCAATGTGTTGTTACAGCAATAAATTTACATAAATAAATCATAGCAAAAGGTGATGTTAATTATAAGGCATGTATTACGATCGTTGTACATGGATGTACTATTATCACACTTCCCCGAATTGTACTTACAACTAGAATAAGTCATTATTTCTTTATTACATACAAAACGATTTTGACATTTTGAATTAATGTTATTGTGGGAGGATTCAGCAATGAAACAGATGAACACGTTTTCGATTTCTGATTAATTGTTTTTTTGTTGTGGTCATGATTGTGTTTTGTGGGATTGCTTTTAAACTTACTGTTTGTATGTTTTATTATATGAAGGTTAGTTACGTGACAAGGTATGAGCTCATTTGTACTTTATATGGTTTGCTTTCAAAAGAGGAAGTTTTTTTCCTTGTATAAGTTTGAGTTTGGTTTTTTGTTGTAATTGAAAATTAAAATTCATTCAAGTTTTTTTGTTTGTTTTTTTGAAATTGAAAATTGTAATATATTTGAATTTGATATATAAGTGTTCACATGGTTAAAATAAAGTATTTAATTGTTGATGAATGTTTATTTTACTCTAAGGTACATGTAATATGGTAATGGAGAGGGCTGTTTTTAAGAGTTCAAGGGTTCCTTCCCCCGCCAATTTCAATTTTCATCTTGATATATCCCCAAATTTGATAATGGACAGTTTCAAAAATTGAAACTATACATGTTGATTGAATAAATTCATATTTAACCCCAAAGGTATGAAAGTCATTTTCAAAATATTTTGCTGATTTCTATACAAAGCAACCCATGAACGTATTCTCGTATTCTCGTCAACAATTAAAAAAAACAAGAAGTCAAGTGACCTGTTAGGTACATTATCAATTAACATATTCATAAATCAAGCAATAAACATATTTTGTCTATATATTGGTGTATTGTGAAGCTAAATGAGAAGTATTTTATGATCAGATATTATGTAAGAATACCGAGAATACTTTATGAATAATGATACGATCTATATGTCAGAATAGTATCGCTTTTGTTTGAAAAGCAGAACAGTTTTAGTGTTGTATGTAATAAAAGACAATTATGATGTTGACAATATACTTGTCGTGTATGATTGATGGTTAGTTTGTAGATTTATAACATTATTACGGGACTTGTTGTCTACTGTACCGCTACGTGTGGTAACATAACAATCGAAAACTATGATTGCCCTGAAATCAGACCATGTTTATATATACTAGTTCATTTGTTAAGTTGTAACTTAAAACCCTATCCCATAATGCTAAAAATCTGAAAATGGACTTGTCCATCACTTTTAAGCTATTCCACCTTGCATTTGTTTTAGATTATTTATTTTATAATTTCAGAACTGAAGATGGAGGTATTGGAACCAATTCTAGTCAACTGTAATCATCATTCTGTAGTACAGTAGTTATAAGGTGAGTAATTAAGCCGTTAAGGAGCATCATGGGGGATCACAGATACACCATTTTGTGTTTTGTCAGTGTTGCATCAAGTCCTTGATTTAATTATTGTTTCACTATGGACAATTCGTGATATAACTAAACATTTCAGTTACCTTAATTAACCTTTGAAAGGAAACTGTGATTAAGAACAGATTTAGATCTCTTAAAATTCCTTAAACGAATAATGGATTGTTCTAAATTACAACCCGGGCAAGTCCATTATGTGAATTCAGTGGGGTAGGGGTTAAAAACACAACAACACAATTTGAGCACATAATGGTATTTGCATATTTTATTGCCCATATTTATAGTATATTCAGTCAACTTGAATGATAATATTAAAAATAGATCACTCTGGAATAGATGTTACCCGGAACTAATCTGTAGGTTTGCCATTACATATCTTCATGAAGCACTACCCATCACAATAGATTAGCAAACCTATTGGCTTATTTTCCAAGAGTTTGTTTATACCTATGGATTAGCTTGGGAAAACCCAAGTTATGAAGTTTTCCCAGGTAATACAGGATTTACAGGTCATGTTAAAAGTTTGTTTGTTTGTACAGGGGGATTAACTTGGAAAAACCCGAATTTGCCCAGTTCCAGATAACAACTATTAGTCATATGAACTTTAGTGACTTTAAAAACCCAATAAAAAAAATGTGTTACTTTGTAAGAGCAAAGTTAACAAATACTTTTGTAGCTTTAGGTGATATTTAGGCGTATTTGATCTAAATTGATATGACAGTTAATGTGATGAAATTTGTTATATTGACACTTGGCTAATGATTAATATTTTACCTAACTTTATCAGGGTTTTAAATCGTAATAATAATGATAATGAAAATAACACCTACAAACTGTGTCTAATTTTGAAGTGAGATTGAATATAATTACAGAAGTCCTATCCTTATATATATGTGATTTAAGATCAGTAGATATATGATGATTTATCTTATAGTGAATTTTTACTAACAAATTTTATTTTAGTAACTTTAAATCAAGAATTGCAAATATTTCAAATGTTAATAATATTAGGTGTAGCATTTTTCATGTAAAGTAAAAACAGTTTTTGTATCCTTCTAAGCAAGTAAAGAAAACTTGATTTTTAAGTTATGCTCGAGTGCATTTTAATTTTTTTTGAAACAATTATTTTGTCACCAATATCAATCTTGTGTGGTAAATACTTGACTGAGTTATCTGAACTCCCGTAAATTTCAAATTTTCAACACTCACTGGATGGTGTAATTGATTACAAAATACTAGTGTTCAAATAGTTAAATGCCAACCCTTAGATCTGACCTTTATATTGATACTTGCAGTGTAAACATTCCGATTTATAATTCCAGGAAATATGTGTTGAAGGTGTAGAATAGAAAAATTCTGAATCCTCCAGTGATTTTGTGACATTTCGTGTAATTGTCAACGTGGAATATGAGTTGGTGGATGTCTATTGCATTTTCTCGTTTTCACTTAATTGTTTCCTTTGAGTGGGAGGTACGGTTTTAAGTAAAGCTTCAATGCCCTGTGGGGTTTACCTGTCAGTTTCCTTTTCCATCACTTTAAAAGCAGCCATGGTGTTGTTTGTGTCAATTATGAATTACTTATAGGCTCATAAAATTAGTTTATGTCTAAGATTGGATCTTGCTGTTTTTCTTACATTTGAATCTACGATAATTTGTTATGTTAGGTCTATCAATTGCAGGGGGAAAAATATACTGTACATGATGTGCTAACAGTTAAAGGTTGCCTTTCATGAACAAAGGTTAGAACATTGGGAGTTGTCAGCTATGGCATAAAAGGGTAGTTTCTTTCATGAGATAGATGTTACATGTATGATCTAGCAGCCTATATAAAATTGGTCTTTTACATTCACATAAACATGATTTTTTTTCAGATCCATACACTTCTTCACCCAACCCCAATATCCTTGCCCCACATTGACCTGAAAAACAGGAGAAATCCATTTACAAACATTTTTTAAAAAAAGACGAGGTTATAAAAATTACAACACCAAAACAATTAATTTCTAAGAAGAACTTGGATTTTCCAAGAATCACAGAGTTTGTATACCAGCTAGAGATCAATATCGGGTGACTTTATTCTGCTGCCAGTGTTTCACCTGTCTGTAGCAGAGTGTTGTTACATAACTTGACACTAATTTAAAACCTGTTTCATATCATAAGTTAAAAGCATTGATTTCTTAACTTAGTTAACTTGGTGTCAGAGGTGAGTGTATGCAGTTTCTATAAATGTGGCTTGGGTTCGCATGTTCTACTGTTTATATTCCATACCTGCAGAATAATTGCTCAGTTGTGTCAGTATTTAAATTATTAATTATTTTTTTTTACCCCAATAGGAAAGGAAAAAAAACCTGATAGTTTTGTTTAGAGCATTACAAATTATTTCAATAACTGTCTGTATACATGGTATAATGCCTTGTGGAGAAGAAAGCTTACTGCATCCTTAAAATAGAGGGAAGTATAATCCCGAAATAATGTTGCCTTACGTCCTTGATTACATGCATATTTTGGCCAGAATCTGTTCCACCATTATTTGACTTTGATTGGATGTAGCAATTTTAGGTAAATATGTAACATGCACTGTATAGTAGTTTAATGATTTGTCATGAATTTTGATTTTAGTACATTACCAAGTTTAGTCATTTTCTATTTTTCTAAAATTAATGTTGCCCTTTCCCCAAATAATCATTTCATATAAATTTAATCCTTGCCTTCTGGCAGAAACAGATTCAACCCATGTCACCAGTGCAGGTCAAGGTCATTTTGCAGTTTCCTGCTAACTAATCATGGTCTGCAATGTTCCCTATTCAGTCAGTATACATGATGAAATTAAAGCCAACCAGCAGTTCCAGGTAACAATTGTGATCAGGCACTATATATTTGGCTGACCAACATGACATTTACATCTTCCTCTTAATTGATACTGGACAGTTTCAATATTAAAAGTGGATAAGTTAATTTAAGAAATTCAAGGGATTATATAAGGAGCACAGTAGCTTTTCCTGCTTCTGTATCATGCTCTTGAGTGGAAATAGGAGTATCCATTGGCTATATTGATACCTTGTCGCTAGATTGATATTTAGAGGCATTAGTCAATAAAATTTGAATGTAACTGTTAAAGAGTAGAGACAAGTTAATAAAATTTGAAGAGAGCATTAAAGTGGACAAGAACTGTTACTGTTTTTCAACTATCTCCCTTTTATCATCTGAATAACTTGCCTTGATAACCTTATTATAATTCCAACCAATCAGCATATTGGTTAGGGCGCTGTCACTGCTACTGTCACAGGCATAGGCTGTGATGCTCTGAATCCTCTACCAGTGGAAGCTCATTTTTCATTTATCACAATACTTTAAAGTTGGTAATAAACTTGGCAAATGGTAATAAACTTAGCAAAAACAAACAAGGAAGCCTGACATGAATCTGAAAGTTACAATTCCTACGTAAAAAACAAGGTTTAGTATTGGCCAGTACAACAGGAAGCAACCATTTTTTCTATTTACACAACTTTTGGAGGCTTCCCGTACTATCAATGTTAAAAGGTCTTTTCCCTGTCAGTCAGCATTTCTGAAGTGCTCAGTTAATATTCTTGTATTGAGAAAAAGGCTAATATCGGTCAGCTAATGTATATTGTTTTGTTTTTTAATGCTAAATATGGTGCTGACATTTGGTTACCCTTTCTTAAAATAATCGCTGAACCATTAGGTATTGATGTTAGCTAATGCATTGAAATAAGAGAAATTTCTGTGAATGAAATATCTGTCAATTTTCCTCTATCGTATTTGTCGCACAGAGACATATTTGGCCTGATTGACATTCATTGTATTAACCTTACGTGGGAAATTTCATGCAAGCCAGCCTGTAAGCTGCTTCATTTCTAAGCAAAATAATTCTAGCCCGCCAACTCACTGTTCAATGTCTTAATGTAAAATCAATAGAAACTGTATTACATCAGCCGAGTTCGTTACAACCTCGGCCAATCAAGTTGCGTCTTGTTGTGTAGCTATGGTAACGGGTCTGGAGAATCATGACAGTTTCATGATCTGATTTAGTATTCGTTGGATGAATGGAAATGTCGTGTTCTCATTCTTTCCGATCTTGTTTACAAAGTGAACTTATAGTAAAATGACGTCAGTGGTTTGATTTCGCCGGGCAGAGGGCTCTTAGGTGCCAATTTGGTTGCAATAGCGTGGGAGTGTTATCATTATGGTAGAAATAGATGACGCAAAGAGGAGATTTAATATTGTAACATTGCAGCTGCTTTTAGGCTTTATTGCCTTTTGTTTGATTTATTTTCGTATCAAGCTGCATTGGGAGAAACAAAAAAGCAAAAAAAAAGTAAAAATTGCTATACAAGGACAAAGAGTAATTATTTATGTGACTATAAGTTAGTACAGAGAATATCTTGCTGGAATTCTTGTAATAGATCGTTTATTGATTATAAAAACTGCCTTTGTGCAGAAAAGATACTATAAAACAAGAAATGTAGGAATGAGAACGTGACTGATGTGTCATACTCATTTAATAAAAGTTGAAAGGTCAGCATGTGATTTAAGGTCAATGAAATGAAGAGTTTTATTTTATAGGCTGATGTATAGATGTTAGGCACGATGATCTAGTTCACAGTTTATATTTACAGCATTGTATGTCTGTAAGAACCACTTTTCATACACCATCACATCCTTTTAACTGACAGTCTATTCTTTAAAATGTCATGCATTTGGAGACATTAGCCACACTGTGACACTTTCCTTCCAACCTTTTTTCTTGTAAATTTCATGAGCTGTTTATGCATATTTAATTGCCTAAGTATTGTTGCACTGACCGTAATGTTTATGATATAAGAAGTTTTTTTTTATCGAGCGTCACTGTAGTATGACCTTTATTATGCCCCCGCCATATAATGGCAGGGGCATATAGTGTTACCCTGTTCCGTCATTCCGTCCTTC